TTTGATACATTAAAAATCTTTACTGCTTAAAACTCCTACAAAGAAGACGAAGGGAACGTAACGAAGAAAACGTTGAGAAACGTATTTTTGGGGTTTTTTTTTTTCCTTGTCACGTGTTTTTTCCTTTTTCTGACATGTCAAGTGGGTATGTTTTATAGATTTGATTGCTATTTTAATATAAATAAATTGGTATCAAAATTTTTTTTGATTTTGTAGATCCAAAAAATAATTGTATGTTAATCAAATATTAAATAGATAAATTGATTTCTTTTCCTTTAAGTGTTTGTGTTATTTAAAATTTAGAATTTATTCATGAAAAATATATACACAAAATCACTACACAATTTAGTTGTTGGCGATATTTATTTTTTTGTTATCCTTTAATTTATTTTTTATCAATTAATATAATTATATTTCAGTATATTTTTTTGGCATATGTTTATGCATATTTCTTTTTTTCTAAAATTTTTTGTTTTTATCGATTATTTGAAATTTGATAATACCAAAATGTTAATTTCCTTAGTTCAAACAAAAAACCTTTCAAAGTTATTTTTTAATTTATGTTGGTTTTATTTTTGGCTATTATTGTATGATTTGTATCTTCATATCATACAACTAACTTCTTTTTATACCAATTCAACAACTCACTCGAAAAAATCATACGAAACAAAATTTAAACACCAAAATGTCTTTTCCAACTTTAAGTACATTGTATCGGATGATATAATTTATCAATTGTTTTAATATATTTTTGAGTTTAGTAATTTTTTAATGGGTAACATTGACATAAACAAATGCAAAAGTACAAAGGCAAAAAAATTGAAGACTGTAATAAAACATTGAAAAACTTTACATAGGGTTTATTGAATTTTTCTAGATGTTAATTTAACTAAAAAAATATACAAAAATAAATAATAGTGAAAATCTTAATTAAATGTAAATATTATGATCGTATATTTTTTTTAATCAAAAATCTCATGCTATTATGACACCAAAACCTAGTTTCTTTTTTAGTGCATATATGTTTCTTTTGAATATATCATCTAAAAATTGTAGTCACAAAAACATCAAGTAATTACTTTCACACTTTATCGAGTAGTATCCATTAAGTACTAAAATGGTTTCTTCTCTTCTACAACTGCAAGACGCCAAGACATCTATTTATGCTCACCTCATCAGCACGGATCACCATAATCACATCATCAAATGTTGCATATGTTATATAAAAGTCGAGGCTATAAGCTCCTAAAGGCGTCCACACAGAATTTAAATCAACCAATAGTGTTATGCCATGACATTTAGAATTAAATTAATTTACCTTTTTGTTGTTAATAGGAAATTAAGACATAATTTCTTTATTTCTTAAACTCATAACTTTAAGTAATTTCCGTTTTT